TCTATCAGAAAAAATATCTGGCGCTTTACAATAGAAAATTGCTAATAGCTTTTGCAAGAGTGTGCGCTGAGATATAATATAGCATAGCAGTAGTTTGGCAGCCGTTGCAAGAACATTTCTGAGCTTCAGACCTCGTAAAAATCTATTTTGCTCAAGTAAAGGGTATAAAAGGAGATTACAAACTGGGTCTCCTATTCGATTGAGTGGAACGGAATGTGCTTTTTTTATTCCACACACTCACAAACACATATATATTTGCTTTAACACACAATTTTTGATTAAATGTACATTCGATACATTCGAAGAAAAGTCATGGTCATTTCGCTAATATTTTCTACCTTCAAAAATTGAAAAAAAGCATTCACTATTCAAACTTTTATTTTACTTCAAGTACCTACTTTTCTGTACTTTAAGCTAGAGAATTGCTTGAATAAAAATAAATTTTAAAAAATGAAGATTCTCATGAGAGGAGATTTAATTTTCATCTGCGCGGATTTCGATAATTGAAGGCTCTTCCAATTGTAGAATAAAAAAAAAAACCACGAGGTATAAAATAGTTTTCCCTTTTGAAATGTATCGAAAAAAGGATTTACTTGTTTTTTTTTACCAGTGCCTTTTTTTTATTGGCTCTCTCTCGTTGTATACTTTGGAGAGAGAGTCAATGATTCAAGTTTCAAGTGCATCAGATGCGAGAGAGCAAATTCATGTTACCATTTTGACGAGTGCCAATTATTGGAGAAAAGCTCACACAAATTATCCAATAGACCAAATAATCTCGTGTGTGTGTGTGTATGAAACATTCATAAGATTCAAGAGAGTTTGAGATTGGAATATATATATGTACCTACGTTGTATTAAAATGCGAATACGTTTCATGAACCTGATATACGAATTTTTTTTTCGTGAAAGAAAAATTGCGAAATTTTCTGAAAATACTAGATATTGAAAATAATTGAATTTCGAATATTTTTTGCAAATAATTGAATCGTTTTATAAAGAATTTGATTATAATTTTTGAGAATAGTTTTTTTATTTCTAGTATTAACGAATTTAAAGTATAGTGGAAATTCTAGAAGAAAAAATAAACAAAAATAGTAGCTTTTAGTGGCTGAAATCTAAAAAAAGTACACAAATAGTATAACGTAAAAAAAGTAGTAAATAGTAGGTTTTAGTAAATGAAATCGAAAAAAGGAGCATTTTTGAAAATAGTCGAAAAAGTCTTAATTAATAATAATAAATAGCCTGTATTTATCGAAAGAAGTTAAAAGTTTTATATGCTGAGGAATATTTTATTGAATATAAATCAGTTGATGTCGATGAAGAAGCCAAAGGAAACGGGGGGTTAAAAAGGGAGACTTTTCGTCTCGTATCCCCGATATAAATTATATGTATACGTTTACCATATAGTTAGCAGTGCAGAATGTGGCCTTGCGGCTATAAAGCGTACATCCTGCGATCCGCAAATCCACAGGAGTACTGCGGCTTCACCGCACTAGTTGTGCTTAAAATTCCTTTACTGCTGACAATCTCGTGTGTGTTGATACATAGAGAGAATTTTGCCGGTGACTTTCACCATTAACCACATACGTTTTACTATGTTTATATAGACACATATTGTATATATTGCGAAACGAATTGCGACCAATGTAGAGAGAGAGAGAGATTTACTTTTATGGAAACGAAAACATTTTCAATTTCGAATTTCAATTCTCAAAAAGCAATAAATCCTTTTCGCTTTTTTCCCTTTTTTCTGTCCTATATTTCTGTGTTTGTTAATTTAGTGCACAAATGCAGAAACGAATAACAGTTTCAACAAAGAATTTAATAAAGTGATAAAGAAATAATAAGTAATAAATGCCATTTTTATTTCTAAAAATAAAAAATAATATTTTTTTAAGCTAAACGTCGACGCTAAAAAATTCAGGAAAATGATTTTAGCTTGAATTTTTTTATTTTCAAATTCATAAATTATTTAATAATTTTATAAGTAAAAATTTTTAAAATTCATTTATTTTTTTCAAAAATTTTAATATAACTCTTCGCAAGAATTCAATTATTTTCAGAAATAATAACATTATTCGAAAGAATTCAATTATTTTTATAAATAATTGAAAAAGTATAATTTTTTGCAAAAATTCAATTATTCTCAACGAAAATTTCGATATAATTTCCCAAAAGAATTCAATTAGGTACTTTTATAAATAGTATAAACTTCTTTGAAAAAATTCAATTATTTTCACAAATAATAAAATTTTCCACTGCAATTCAATTATTTAAAAAAAATTTAATAAAAATTTAATAAAATTCATTACAAAAATTCAATTGTTTTTATAAATATTCAAATTCTTTGTAAAAATTCAATTATTTTATGTATTTTTAAATTTCAACAAATTTCCAAGTGAGAATTCAATTATTTTCATAAATAACTAAATTCTTACGAATAATTTTGTTACTTATAAAAATTTTAATTAAATTTTACGCAAAAATTCAATTATTATTTTTAGTAAAATTTTTAAACAATTTTACCAAAGAATTCAAATATTTAAATAAAATTTTTAATCATATTTTTTGAAATAATTCAATTATTTTCTAAAATTTTAGTAAAACTTCTTAGAAGAATTCAATTATTTTTCTAAATTGTAAAATCGTTGCAAAAATTCAATTATTTTCAATAAAACTTCAACAAAGAATTCAATTATTTTCTTAATTTGGCATCAAATTTTTCAAAATATTCAATTATTTTACTAAAATTTTAATAACTCTTTTGAAACAATTCAATTATTATTTTAAATAATTTTAATAAAATTCCGGTCCAGAATTCAATTATTTTTATCTAAAATTCAGTAAATTTCGCAAAAATTCAATTATTTTTCAAAATTTTGACAAATTCCCAAGTAAGAATTCAATTATCTTCTTAAGTAACAAAATTCTTCAAAAGAATTGAATTATTATTTATAAAAATTTTAATTAAATTCTACGCAAAAATTCAATTATTTTTAGTACAATTTTTAAACAATTCTACCAAAGAATTCAAATATTTAAATAAGATTCTTCGGAGGAATTCAATTATTTTCACAAAAAATAAAATTTTTCACTGGAATTCAATTTTTAACAAATTTTTAATAATATTTTTCGAAAAAATTCAATTATTTTCGATGAAATTTCACGAAAGAATTCAATTACATTTATAAGTGTAGTAAAATTTTTTGAAAAAATTCAATTATTTTTAATACAATTTTAGTAAAATTTCATGATTGAATTTAATTTTCAAACAAAATTTTAATAATATTTTTCGAAATAATTCAATTATTTTCTAAAATTTTGGTAGAACTTCTTAGAAGAATTCAATTATTTTTTCAAATAGTAAAATCATTGCAAAAAATCAATTATTTTCAATAAATTTTCACGAAAGAATTCAATTATTTTCTTAATTATAAGTTATAAAATTTTTCAAAATATTCAATTATTTTCTAAAATTTTTGTAAAACTTCTTTAAATAATTCAATTATATATTTTTAAATAGTAAAATCCTTCTAAAAAGTCAATTATTTTGAATGAAACACGAAAGAATTCAATTATTTTCCTAATTGGTTATAAATTTTTCAAAATATTCAATTATTTTCTAAAATTTTAATAAATCCTCCGAAACAATTCAATTATTATTATTTTAACAAATTTTAATATTAAAATTCTGGTCCAGAATTAAATTATTTTAACTAAAAATAATTAAATTTCTCAAAAATTCAATTATTTTCCAATATATTTTGACAAATTTCCAAGCAGCAATTCAATTATTTTCAAAATAAATAAAAGTTAAAAACTGTAGTTATAGCTTGAAAATAACTGAATTTTAATTATTACTAATATTTGTTAAAAAGAAATTCAAAATTTTTTTTTAAATTCTCGTTTAAGAAATCGAATAATTTTTGAAAAATAATAAAATTCTTTCCCAAAATTTATGATATTTCTAACCTAAAAATTCTAATAAAAATACCACTTGTGAGAGATAAAAATTTTTACAAATTAATTTTCTTTTTCGATAAATTTCTGTTTGGTAAACATTCGTAATTTGAAATTCATTTCGATTTTTAACTTTAATTAAGTTCAAAATAATTTAAAAATTTATTCTAACAAATTAAAAATTATTAAAATTAATTAATTCAAGAGAAGTTTAGGGTTTAGGTAAAAATTTCAGAAAATAATTAAATTTCGAAAAGTGGAAAATAATTTTGTAGTTAAAGTTACAATATAGAATGAATCGCAGAATATTCTTTTGGGTCGGTAAAAAAATTAAAAATTCTGTCTGGAAGTTAGGAAAAAACAAAAATGTATTTTTATAGTAACTTTGTTATTTTTTCATTTACTCGATTCATCGCTTTTTTCAGATTTCGAGAGATTTGAAGTTTTTATTTTTTTTTTAAACGTCAGTGTTGAAAAAACATATTGTCTACTCTACGGTTTGTTATATTTAATCAAGTGTCGATCACATGTTTATATTTTTATTCAAAACGTCATGGAAAAATGATTTTTAATTTTCAAATTCAATTCTGTTTTCGTGTAAAAATCGAATTTTATCATTTTTTGAAACGTAAATCAAAATTACAATTATTATTGTACTTTTTTAATTATATACAATAATAATTATATTCTCTAAATCAGAATCAGTATTTTTCTGCTAATGAAATAGTGCGGATTCGTTTACCAATAAATTAGTAGTTTTCTACTAGCAATTAGTAAAAAAAAAAATACTAAAGATTAATGAACTAAAAATTGTTATTAATTCAAATTGATAAACGAATTCGCACTATTTTATTAGTAGAAAATTACTAATTCAGATTTAGAGAGTAATAATTAAGTCTTAAATAATAACTACAAGATTTTTTTCAATTATTTATGTATATGGACAGTAACTGAGAAATGACTGTGAAAATCTAAAAGAGAGATCAGAAAGGGATCACACAGCTGCCTTGGCTCCAAAACATAGCGCTCAGTATGCGCTAAGCCTTCAACGAAGGAAGTGCGTCTCACTTTTTTAATCGCAATTTTTTCTTTCAACTGTCAAAATTATTCAAAAAAAAAAAAAAAACAAGCGCGACACAAAAAGAAAAATAGTGTAATTAATAATGAGGATAAATTGTGCTAAAATTTTATTTTAAAAAGAAAGTGCGACAATGGAGTTTATCTAAATTTCTTTTTCCTGACCAGGTAGAAATTGATTTCTTTTCTCTTGCTATACAGTGGACTATATCTGTAATGTAGACATAAAGACTATTCCCTTGTTTGCATTGAGTTTGAGAAACCGTGACAACGATGAGCTCATCGAAAAAAAAAGTTCAGACCAAATGCAAATATACAATATTTTATAAAAACATAGCAGAAGAAAAAAATGTTATTGCTAATTGCTTTTCACTGTTTCGCTAATAAAAAAGCACTTTGCGAGATTTCCTTCAGTTTTCTGTGAAACTAGGTATCAAATTATCAAAATATTGATAAATGGCAAAATATTGATAAATATCAAAATATTGATACAAAAGTGGACGAAATTGATGCCAAAAATTTGGATACAAATTGGTGCTAAAAATTTGGATCAAATTGATAACAAAAATTTGGATCAAAATGATAACAAAAATTTTGACTAAAATGATGTCTAAACTTTGGATCAAATTGCTGCCAAAAATTAGGATCAATTCGTTGCAATTTGATTCTTTTAAGTTAACAGTGATTTTTTATAAAAATAGGTGGAAAAAAATTTAGTATTTTTGGGTCAAAAGAAGGAGAAACTCTTCTTTCAAAATTGTTTATTATTATTTGCATTTTTGTTTTTTTTGTACCATAATAATCATTAGTTGTAGTATTTGAAGTGTAAAAAGTAATTATGAAATATAATTAGTCCTCGGAGACAATAATTATAATCACGACCATATTATCTAACGAAGATTATTATTCTTCGATAATTGTGTTTTTTCACGATTAGTTTTGTTGCTTTGAATACAAATTGTTACTTTTTAATACAAATTGTTACTTTTTATATACAAAACTGTTACTTTTTGTAGAATTTGCCACTTTTTACAATTTGTTACTTTCTTGTAATTTTTTCCTTTTTTGGAATTTGTCCTTTTTTGTGCAATTTGTTACTTCCTTACAATTTTTTCCTCTTTTAGAATTTTTTGCAACTTTTCTTAAAATCTGACACTTTTTGCAATTTTTCCTGATACGTTAACTTAATAGTATCAAATTGCATCGAATTGATATAAAAAATTGTGGATTGATTAAAAAATTGATCCAAACTTTTGGCAACAAAATCTTTAGTATCAAAAATTGATACTTTCAAGAAGACTGAATTATTGAAGAATTTTTCTAAAATCTGGTACTTTTTGCAAATTTTTCTGTTACTTTAACTTAATGGTACCAAGTTGCAAATGAATTGATGCCAAAAATGTGGATAAAATCAAAAATTGATCCAAACTTTTGGCAACAAAATCTTTAGGATCAATTTGATACTTTCAAGAATAAGACTGAATAATTATTGAAGAATTTTTTCAAACTCTGGTACTTTTTGCAATTTTTTCTGTTACTTTACCTTAATAGTACTAAGTTGCAAACGAATTGATGGCAAAAATTGGAATCAAATCAAAAATTGATCCAAACTTTAGGATTTTTGGCAACAAAATCTTTAGTATCAATTTGATACTTTCAAGAAGACTGAATTAATATTGAAGAATTTTTTCAAAATCTGGTACTTTTTGCAATTTTTTCTGTTACTTTAACTTAATGGTATCAAATTGCAACGAATTGATACCAAAAATTCTGGATAAAATAAAAAATTAATCCAAATTTTTGTCAACAATTTGATTTACATTAGTATCAAAATTTGATACTTTTAAGAAGACTGAGTTATTGAAGAATTTTTTTTGCCTTTGTCAAAACTCGTTTGGTATTTTTAGGTCTTTAGGAAAGCATTGAAAATTGATTATTTAAATTTGAAAATATACTCGGATTTGAAATGAGCCTTCGAGAGAAATTATTTTCGATTAGTATCAACATGTCATTCACTCTCTGCGCGCGGACCTTGATATTCGAGTCTTGAATAATAAATTTTGTAAAATTTATTTCTTATTTAATAGAGGTACATATATACATGTTGTAACAAAGGAAAAGATATAGAAAAAATAATTTATTAAACATTCTTATTTTTTTCTGTAAAAAGAAACTATTTTTCCTGAAACGTATGTGCATTTTATCTCAAATGTTAGATTAGATAAATTGCAGGTATATTTCTTCTGGATTCTTTCTTTGGAAAATTCGATTTTTCTTAACGTCTTGCAGGCTTTGCGTATACATACTCATCCACTAAAAGCTACTATAATATATAGTATATTTACTACTTTTTTACGATTTGAGGAATTTTTTTTTTTAGATTTGTGTCACTAAAGATACTTTTTCCTTTATTTGGGAAGGAAAATTTTTGCTAATAATAAAATAAAAAAAAATTAATAATACAGCCTTTCTATATCAAATTGAGACAAAAGTCAAATCAAAATTGTTGCTATAATTTTTATAAAATTTCTTTGAAAGAATTCAATATTGTTTTCATAAAAAATGAAAATTTCTCACTAAAATTCAATTGTTTGAAAATTTTTTAAAAAATTCTTTCCAAAAGTTCTATTACTCCCATAAATAATAAAACTTATCGTTGGATTTCAATTATTTTTCACATAATTCCTCGAAAAATACAATTATTTTTTTTTTAATTTTGTTAAAATTTTTCGCAAAAATTCAATTATTTTTAAAAATTTTAACAAATTCTTGAACCAGAATTCAATTATTTTCATAAACAATAAAGTTTTTCACTGGAATTCAATTATTTAAAAATTTTTAGTAAAACTCTTCCCAAAAATTCAATTATTTTCATAAATAACAAAATTCTTTGCAGAAATTCAAATTATTTATGAAAATTTTAATAACTTTCTGGGCAGAATTAAATTATTACAAAAAATAACAAAACTCTTCGCAAAAAATCAATTATTTTAAAAAAATATTAATAAAATTCTGGTCCAAAAATTAATTATCTCATCTGAAAATAATTATTAAATTCATCAAAAATTCAATTATTTAAAAAAATTTTAACAAATTTCAGAGCAAGAATTCAATTATTTTTACAAATAATTTTTAAAACCATTGAATTCTTGGTCGGGAAATTAATTAAAATTGTTGAATTTCCTGTGAAATTAAATTTTTTATGAAAATAATTGAATTCTTGCCAAGAATTTTATAAACATGTTTAAAAAATAATTAAATAGGTAAATTAATTTTATTAAAAAATGTTTAAATAATTATATTTTTGCGAAGAATTTTGTTATTTTTGAAGAAAATTAAATTTTGCACAGAAATTTATTAGAATTTTTAAATTAGATTAGAATTTCGTTATTTATGAAAATAATTGAATTTTTGAGAAGATTATTTTTAAATTATAAAAATAATAAATTCAATTCTGGATTGGAATTTTATTAAAATTTTTTTAAATAATTGAATTTTTGAGAAGTGCTTTTTAAATTTTGATAAGATAATTTAATTTTGAATGGAAATTTTATTAAAATTTTGCATTTTGCGAAGAATTTTATTATTTTTGAAGATATTATTAGAATTTTTAAAAATAATTAAATTTTTGAGAAGAGTTTTTTTTTTAATTATGAAGATAATTCAATCCTGGATCGGATTTTTATTAAAATTTTAGAAAATAATTGGATTTTTTTGAAGAATTTTAATATTATTACTATTAATATTATCTAATATTATTATTTAATTGAATTTTTGCGAAATTCAATTATTTTTAGATATAGGAATTGAATTTTAATAAAATTTTAACTAGAATTTTGTTAAAATTGTTTTAAATAATTAAATTTTTGCTAAGAATTTTGTTATTTTTGAAGATATTATTAGAATTTTTAAAAATAATTGAATATTTAAGAAGAGTTTTTTTTTAATTATGAAGATAATTCAATTCTGGATCGGAATTTTATTAAAATTTATGAAAATAATTAAATTTTCTGAAATTCAATTATTTTTTGGCAAGGTAATTGAATTCAAATAAAATTTTAACTAGAATATTTTTAAATTTTGTTATTTTTAAAGATATAATTAAATTCTGCCCTGTAATTTATTAGAATTTTCAAAAATAATTGAATTTCTGCATAGAATTTTGTTATTTATGTAAAATAATTGATTTTTTGAGAAAAGTTTTTTTTAATTATGAAAAGATAATTTAACTCTGTATTCTGAAACAACAATTATAAAAAGAATAATAACAAAAAATTTTGTTTGCCAATTTATATAATTTAAAAATAAATAAAATATTATAAAATTGACAAAAAAAAAACAAAACAACAGGAAAGTTTAATAATTGTATAAATAAAGCAGAAACGTGATGCAGTGAAAAAAGAAAAAAAAAAATATATAAAATACTATTTGTATACTCTGGAACTTTCATCGGAAAATTTAACATTCCGAATATTGAATACAAAATTTATACAGTTTGTATAGTTTTCAAAGCGTGGAAAATTTGATTCGATATAAATATATATATATATACGGCTGCAGGAGAATTCATTCGATTGTAAAACAGTTTTTTTTACAAATATAAATATATATACATATATATGTTGTTCGATTGCTTTTAAAACCAAACTTAGTTTTGTATTCGCAAATATACGAGAGTTTTAACATCACACACACGAACAGAACTGTTTTTGTATGCACAAATGCATTTTGTAAATTCTATAGTCATGTTCACGTGTGAGTTGATTCACATGTTTCTTGTTTTCCTCCCTCTCACCCCTTATCGTTAAATTATCCATTATTATATTGTTATATGGAGAAAATTCCTTTTAAAGAGAAAATATAAATTTTATTCACCTGACTAATGTCTGTATTATCCTTTTAATTGTATGTTACATTGCAAAATTATTTTTCAAATTTTTCATTGTAAATATAAATTAAATGGAAAGGAATAAAAAAAATGATAACAATGACAATTATAATAATAGTAAAAAAAACTAAAAAAGTAACAATTAAGTAAAAACAATAATAAAATAAGTAGTAAAAATAGAAAAAATAGTGATTCTGGATCGGAATTTTATTAAAAGTTTTTTGAAATAATTGAATTTTTTCAAAGAATTTTATTATTTATAAAAACAATATTGAATTTT